AAACATTTTTAAACAATTAAAAATAAAACAATCATTTGTTCTAAAATCATGTTTTAAAACATTTGCCATCCCTAGTTAGAATTAGCATTGGGCAAATTTTCGAAAATAAAAACGAGGGATGTTGTTAAAGTATGGGTGAAAAGACTGCAAAGCACTATATACAGTATCATATGCTTATGACCCTTTTTTTATTGGCTATCAATCTAGCACAGATCACCTGATTATTTAAATACATGTCACGAGCTGAAAGTGAAATTTCCGAAAAGTTGTAGTAAAATCCTAAAATCCCGTGATCAGATGATCTGGACGTTATTTAGAATAATGGCCCGAAATTAAACTTGATTTGGGTCAAAATTTGAAATTACTACTTTATAATTTTGTGTAATTAGTTTTTCATGTGATTTGTAATTTTGAACACATGATATTAGTTTTGAGACCCGAGTTTCATCATACAGTAGGATCCCAAATAATTCTAACAAATTATATATGAAAATGGTTAAAATTAAAATTTTAACACATTCTACAAATCTGATTGGTTAAAAAAATTTTATCAATAAAAATTCAAGTTATTATTCGGGGTATTCATACATTATATTAAAATAAAATGACGAATAACGTTTGCCGATCTTTTGTAAAGCTGATATTCACATATAACGTAGAATTGTGATAACACAACCCTAAACACCGATAACACGTGAAGTCAGTACTGTAATATTAATTTATTATGAAATAAAAGATGGGGGGTTTTTTTTTTACATCCATGGTCCAGTAATGTTGTCAAAAAATAGGTAGGTATAAATGAAATGAACAAAATACTGGTTGTTTCCTACATGAGTATGTTTAGTAAAATTGGTGCAATTGTAATATGTGGTTTTAAATCCAGTTATCAAACATTAAAACACATTTAGTTATTTTGATATTGCTTTCATTACTGCATCTTTGTAAAATATAAACAATCTGTTGAAATCAGTTACATTATAAAATTGAATATGATCTAAGTGGTCAACGTTGTCTGTCAGTATCGATTTGAATACTGAGTTGTTTCAAGATTAAAAAAATCGGCATATTAGAAACTAATGGGAGACCCGAAACGAAGGGTTTTGAGTAGATTTTTTCTATGTTTGACGAATAATGAAGTTATAACAAAAATTTAAATTGTAAATCATTAAAAGAAATCATTAAAAGAAGAGTAGACGCAACTAAAGTTAAAGATTCGGCAGTTGGTCGAAACGAAAATTTTTTTATAAGGTTTTTTTAGGAGACTTAGCGAATATTACGAAAAATAGAAAAAGTATGCTCAAAGCATTGAATTTTATAAATATCGTCATTAATTATGATTATTATTTAGTCAATTGATTGATATGCTTGAGAGCATCCTTAATTAGATTCAATTATTGAATGCAAAAATCTTAATTTAAAATATAGTAGCTAATTCTTAAACATATTATTGACTTAATCAAAGAATCGTTTTTAAATACAGTTACATGACATTAAAATTTTGGTCTGGCTTTTAATATAAAAAAAAACTTAAGACCAGTACAGATTTTATCAATTAATTTGCTAAACTTGAACGTTAACGACCGGAAAAGTAACCGTCTTTCAATTTTTTCAATTAACCTAGTTATATTCTATAACTATCGTCTTGATGTGCAGTTTCCGAGATTGGTGATAAAATCTATATTTATCCACATCAATTGTAGGCAAAAGATAATTTGTTATATTGAAGATTTTATTTTTATTTAATGCTTGATAAATCTTTAAATGCAAAAAACGTTTATGTCTTAGAATAATAATAAAGTCAAAATAGCTGATAGTTTATAAAAAAATGAACCAAAAAAAAGACGCACTAACTCTCAAAATTTGCAACATACAGGTTACATCAATGGCAGTACCAGTACAATTTGGATTATGTCTTTCTTTGATAGTTACAACTCTTAAATTACTGTACATTGCCACAAGTTAGAATAAATCTTGTATTTAGAAATTTGTTATGTGCCTATAGCTTAAGATAACTTTAAGCCTATCAAGTGTCTACGAATCTTTTATAGATTACAATATTAAGACAAAGTTTATAGTAGAAAGCAAGGATTAGTTTCTTAAAGTCCTAAAATTTAAGGTAATAATTAAGGCACTAGTCTAAAATACCGCTGTATTACTAGCATTATTACCAATATGAATAAGATTTTTCAAAATATTGTTCTTGCGCAGTGCATTTTCTAATGCTTTTTCTTCTTCTAACCCAAGATTATTCCAAATAAAATCTAAAGAAGTCAGTGTGGTGTTCTTGCAAAGTGCATTTATCAATGCTTTTCCTCCTTCTGGCCCAAGATTATTATTATAAAGATTCAAAGAAGTCAGCGTGGTGTTCTTGCAAAGTGCATTTGCCAATGCTTTTCCTCCTTCTGGTCCAAGATTATTATCAAAGAGATATAACTCTGTTAAGGAGATGTTCTTGCAAATCGCATTTGCCAATGCTTTCCCTTCTTCTGACCCAAGATTATTAAAACCAATATTCAAAGAAGTCAGTGTGGTGTTTTCGCATAGCGCATTTACCAATGCTTTTACTCCTTCTGATCCAAGATTATTAAAACCAAGATTCAAAGAAGTTAGCGCGGTGTTCTTGCAAAGTGCATTTGCCAATGCTTTTCCTCCTTCTGATCCAAGTTTATTATCACAGAGATTTAACTCTGTTAAGGAGGTGTTCTTGCAAAGTGCATTTACCAATGATTTTCCTTCTTCTGATTCAATATTATTCCCGTGAAGATCCAAAGAAGTCAATGTGGTGTTCTTGCAAAGCGCATTTACCAATGCTTTTACTCCTTCTGACCCAAGATTATTTAAACCAAGGTTCAAAGAAGTTAGCGTGGTATTCTTGCAAAGTGCATTTGCCAATGCTTTTCCTCCTTCTGGTCCAAGCTTATTATCACAGAGATTTAACTCTGTTAACGAGGTGTTCTTACAAAGTGCATTTACCAATGCTTTTCCTCCTTCTGACCCAAGATTATTCTCAGTGAGATTCAAATAAGTCAGAGTGGTGTTCTTACAAAGTGCAACTGCTAACGCTTTTCCTCCTTCTGATCCAAGTTTATTATCACAGAGATTTAACTCTGTTAGGGAGGTATTCTCGCAAAGTGCCTTTATTAGCTCGTTTAAATTTTCTAATCCGCATTTGCAAGAAAGATTCCAGGTTGAAGCACTTTTCTTATCATTAGTGTTATGCTGGTAGTATTTAATAATTTCTTCATAAAGTTCTAAAGCTTTGAGAAATTTGCCTTGATTCAAACACTCATAAGCTTATAAACTATTAAGCTGATGAGTTGCCAATCTGTTATCTTAGGCAAGAGTAGATCCATTCTTTTTTTATAACAACCTTGACAAGGCATGTCCAAGCTTCTCTTCTCATATTCTCAAGGCTAAAATCTTGCGCTGAAATATTTGAACCTATCGTATCAGGCAAGTAAAGTGGAAATGATGTCGTAATTTCAAATGAATTTACATGTGTGTTTGTATTATCCTGATAATATGAGAAAGTTTCGCTATTTTGAGCTGATGTTTCAACGGAATAATGTCGATTCAAAATCATCCCGCGATTATATAAAATATTTGCGTTATTTTGCTCAAATTCTAATAAATTATTTAATGTGTGACTTGGATCTATGTTTAATGTTTTATTTATATGCATAGGTGATTCTTGTAATGTCATAGAATGATATTCTTGTACTATAAGAGAATTCTATGAATGAGTAATTTCTAAACCATGACAGTTTATATTTTGATTGCAATTAACAATCAACGCTTTTAAATTAGAGACAGTTGTCTGAATTTCTGGGCGACTATTAGGCTCACTTTGCAGACAATCTATCATTGATAAATTATGAAAATCTGTTATCAAAATGTCATAAAAGATCATGCCAAATGAATTATCAAAGAAAATTTTATACCTTCATAAATCTTAATATATTTTTCTATAGGAATGGCAACACTTTCAGTAAATAGAATGTTGTGGTAAATCTCTTGCATAAGGAAGCCAACATTGTATACATCGGATTTTTTATAAAATCTGTGATGTTGATATTTAAAAATTTGTCCCTTTAACCTATTTGAAAGCCCATAATCTGCAAGCTTTATATTTTTATTATGTACAAATATATTGTCCGAACGCTATTGAAAATAGATATATTAATTTAATAACAATTTTTTTAAAAAAAGAATTCAATATTACAGTATAATGGCTATATTCTAAACATTACCAATCCGAGATTAAATATTCCTTTAGCATGTAAATATCTAACAGCACTTGCAATTTGCAATGAAAATTTAATCATATCATTCCATGAAAAGTGTTGTGAATTTTCATGTAAATATGATCTTAAAGTCCCACCGTTGACGTTCTCAAAAATCAAAATATAAGGTATAATACTTGAATCTCCTTCGTACACATCAAAATATATATATAATGATTAACGTAAAATTCATTTTATAAATAAACTTAAGATATGTATTATTCTACCTTCTTTCCTAGTAATACCATTAAAACGTATAATGTTAGGGTGTATATCCACTCCATGATATAGCTTAAGCTGTGCATGCGCTAATAATTTAGTAACAATAATAAAATAACAAACATGACCTTATGCGAAATCAGAGTTTACCTCATTAATAATTTCATTAATAGTTAGATTATTATTTTCGAATGATTTTAATATAACGGTAATTTTATTTTTAAAAATAGCACGGTACACTCTTGTAAATCTCTCAATTCAACGTTCCTAAAACGAGTATAATCATAACTATTAATATTCTTCTCAATAATATATTTATGAAGTTGTTGAAGTTGGTTGCTTGTTGCACTCATCTTAAGTTCTCTCAGTAAAAGAATTGTAAATTAGCACTCTGTCACGATATGAATTTAACCATTTATCCTAGTTACACAATTGTTACTCTGTATTAGGGTATCCAGGATTATGCTCCGGTAGGTTGTTTCACAAAAATCTATTTTTAAAAATCATTACAATTATGATGAGACTGTTGAATATGTAATACGCGATAATGCAACTTCAACATGTACTGTTGAATGATAGTCGGATTTCTAACTATTAATAAAAGACAATAAAAAGATATTCAAAAAACTTACTATACTCGAACTAATAAGTATATATGGAAATATAAATATAACAGATGTGTGAAAAGCAGTTAATTTTCATCAGACTCTTTGATAGTCAACGACAATAATTAATGCGCATGAGTTAAATACTATAATCTTCTTTAATATCAAATTTCTATTTTCTAACATAGTTATTTTCTTTAAATTGGAATTTGTGCTGAATTAGCTTTTGAGACAAATGGCATGTTAACATAACTATGACTTTATATTTTCGATTTTGTATTAAACCCCTTTTAGAAAATGGAAGTTTGATAGAACTAAAAAAAAAAATTCAATACGGACTTTTGTGACTTAACAAAGGTTGTTATTTCTTGGCTGTTAAAAAACGTGATATAAATTCCGCTTATCAACCCTATCAAAATTGGACAATAAAATGATGTAAATACCATATGTTCAAGTGTTTATTTCTAAATTTAATAATGAATTCATTTTGCAACTCAACCAAACACTCCAAGGGCAATAAAAAAGTTAGCTTCAATATAATATAAAACAATTAAAATGATAAGTATTGAATAGTTTATCGGATTGCACATCATGAATAAACTACATTAAAATGACTATGGAATTGCCAGCGAAGACATTTTGATTTGGATGCATTGGAAAGTATCTTATGTCACATTTAAGATAGATTATGATAATTAGGAATCTCTGAAAAGTTGCAGTATTGTAAGTAGTTTGAATAGTTTGTTTAGACATCTAAAATTTTTACATTTTATGAAATAAATTATGGATGCTATATAAGGGTTGGACCCATTCAAAAAAACCTTACCGGTTAACCGTTGGTTAGACTTCTTGGTTATCCGGGTATATCCGGGTTATCCGGGTTACCCGGTGTTAACCTTCGTGTTACCTCTCAAAAACGAGGCTAACGGTTCAACTAATAACTGGGAGTCACATGAACACGGAGACACAAGAACCGTGTTGTGGTATGTTAAAGTTGTAAGTATATAGTTTAGCGAGAGGGTTTAGTATAGTTATATGATTTGGCAATTCGAAAGAGTACGTGTATGTTTTTTAGAATCAAATAAACAGTGTCCTTTTATTAAGTATATATATTTAAAGAAATGCTATGGCAAGCATGCCTACAAAGTGGAGCGAATATTGCCCATATATAATAAAATAGCTACTAATAAAATTATATGACATTTATGCCATAAACGTTCGATCTATCATTAATGTTATTACTTGCATTACCAACATTTATCCCATATCCGCCTCTTATGCCGTTTCTTCCACATCTGCTGCTTATGCAAGAAGTGGCTGATATGGCAGAAATGGCAGATCTGGCATTTTCGGCGCAGCACTCCCATGACTTATAATGACCCGTGACCTAAAGAACGTCAAGGGTGTATTAGCAGGGGTAATACCGGGTAAAGATAATGTGTAACTCATGATGTAATTAATCAGAGTTGAAATCACTGTTATGCAATTAATCAATGAGGTTGTGGTATAAAAATTCAGAAGAACCTCTTGAAAAGCATAGCCGGGTTTGTGGTGCATTAATTATCCAAAATAATTTATACAATTATAATTTTATTTTCAAAGATATCTAAAGTTATTTCTACTTGGTTCATGTTATTTTATATTGAAAAAGTACAATTTCCTTTGTTTTTTTGCCTATGGTATTATTGCTTGGTAATTACTCTACCCGGTTAGGTTTACCCGGGAACAAATATCTTAACTGGATATCCGTTGTATCCGCGGGTTACCCGGGTAGCCTTTACCCAGGTCCAACCCTTAATGCTATAAAGCTTAACAATAGTTGACATATTTTTAATACCAGAAAATGCATCCATTTGCAATTTAAGTATTTAATTTTTTATACAAATCTGCATTATTTGCTGCTTTTCTTCTCAATAAGAGTTTTAATTCTGTATATTAATAAGACCTTTAATCACCATCAATTGCTTACTCATAGATAGGGATGCTTTGACCTGACTTGTATTATTATTATAAAAACCGATTACAGTAATCAATAGAGTTGTTTGAGTCGTTAGCATCCCTACTCATAGGGATTAGAACAGCTTAAAATTTTCTCACTGTTTAATTAATCATACAAAAATTTTTTATGCGGACCAATTCCAACTTATACAGAAATTCTACATATTAATCACATGCCAATAATGTTTATTATGATATAAAAGATAGTATTTTTACACCCATGATCCAGGTATTTTACTAAAAAAAATAGGTATAAAAGGTTAGAAATATAAGTTGTTTTCTACATGAAAATGTTGAATAAAATTGGTGCAACTGTAATATGTAGTTTAAATCCAGTTATAAACATCAAACCACTACTCCATCTTTGTAAAATATAAACAATCTGTTAAAATCAGTTATATTATAAAATTGGATATGACCTAAGTTGTCAATATTGGCTGTCAGTGATGATTTGGGAGACCCAAAATGAAGGGTTGTAAGTAGATATTTTCTATATTTGACAGATAATGAAGTTATAACAAAAATTTAAATCAGTAATTCATTAAAAGAAGAGCTGATGCAACTTAAGTTGAAGTTTCGACAGTTAGTTGAAACGAAAATTTTTATTAGGTTTTTTAGGTGATGGCTAAAATTACAAAAAATAGGAAGAGTAGAGGTGTGGCGACTTAGTGTAGTGGTCTAGTCATCACCCTCTTCAAGTGGCAGATTTAGATTTCAAATCCCACTGGTGATGATATTTGAAAAATAGGCCTGTGTTCGGTTGATGGCTATGCATATCGGTTGGATCTAGAATTATAATCTGTAACTTCAGTCACACTATCTAGTAATGGGAGCTTTGGCGCAATAAATCTGAGGAATCAGCATAACTGAAAACCCATTTGGGAAGACCCGAATCTGGAGGTAGCAGTGATCTTTGACGGTATTACAGGAGGGCTGAATTTGAACTGGGGCCTGAGATCGAAGAACCGAGCAACCAGGTCCTATGGCGGATGACACACCAGCCGAACTGCCAGGTTGTCGCACTAGAGAAAAAGGACATACACTCTGAAAGTATGAACCAAGGGGAGGGCATCCTTCAGGTATCTAAAGCCTAGACAGACCAACCTTTCCGGGTTGTCAGCTGGAAGTAAGGGAGAGACCGATAAAGAATCTAGGTAAAAAGACAGTTTGAATGTGGGTATCGGGGTTGTTGTGAACCAGTTAAGGGCAAGGAGTATGTAATGGGCACCTAGTTGGGAAGGTTGGTGCTTGAGAAATGTCTGTAGAACGGCAGCACCCCAAAAGGTGGCGTGAGATACGAATATGGAACAGCAGGTCAATATGTACTAATTAGGAAGCCGTTACGGAACATACAGGTGAATGCATGTATAGGACATGTACCGCTCTGTTAGGTTTACCTTGAGGATAGATTAGCCAGAAGTGGTTAGTAAGTCCTAAGGCAGTCAGTATATCCTCTTCAGGGTGATGCAAAATCCATCCATAAATGGTGAGTAAACCCGGGTTAGAGTCTTGAAGGTGGCAGTTAGAACCAGATGATTTAAATGGGTACCCCCTAGTTGGGGTGCAGATACGGCAGATAGTGTAGAATCTTCAGATGAACTACTTAAATTAGGCACCCAAAAGGTGCATGTGTGGCTTGATATACCATCATTGTAACTGCATTATAAAATGTCATTAACGCTTTAATAAAAGCTTTCAGGCCAAAGAGGTCTCCTTAATCTATAAAAAAAAAAACAAACAAACAAAAAATAGGAAGAGTATGCTCAAGCACTTAATTCTATAAATATTGTCATTAATTGTGATGCTTGAGCACTATCATGATTATTATTTAATCAATTGATTGATATGCTTGAGAAAATTTTTAATTTAATGGATAGGATTTAGACCTTTGTACTACTGGTAGTATATTTATTAAATGCTTTAAAAAATCCAAAAAATATTTTTTCAAAAATTTTTATATCAAAAAATCTGATAAATGTTATAATATTACAGAAATTAATTTATTTTAATATTATTAATAAGATTGTTGGGAAATAATTTTTTTTAAACTGCAATTTTAGCAAATTTTTTGTACTACTGATAGTACACTATTAAAAATAATTATACTAATAAATTTATTAATAAATTTTACAAACTAAAACTTTAATTATTTAAAAAATATTTAAAATTTGTTATATTTAAATTTTTATTATAAGTTTTATTATAAAATTTATTATTTTTACTATAAAGGTTTGTAAGCTATTAGTTGAAAATCATTACTATTTTTAGTATTTCATATAAGCCCTTTAGTTTTTAACTATAATTTTTAAAAAAATTTATTGATTAAATTTTTTAAAATTTTAATAAAGTTATAAATTTTATAGTTTAATTTTGATACTAAATTTTTTTTAATATCTGAATAGTTTATTTTAAATTATATTGCTTTAAATTTTAAAAAAAGTACATCTATTTTTATATAGAAAATTATCATTCATCGCTAGTGCGATATATCACTAGTCTATGATTAGCCAATGAAATTCACGATAAGTATGACTATGATATCTCGAGTACTGTCCATACCTTTTGTACTATCCGTACCTCATACCGTTCATGCCTTTCGCACCGTTCGTATAGTACATACGTGACTGTTTGTTTATTTGTTTATTTGTTTGATGTCTTATTTGTTTTCGCTTCTCTACTTGTTAGAATTTAGCTTTACCTTTTCACTTCCCAACTTATTTAGAATTTAGCTTTACCTTTTTGCTTCTCTA